CCATTTTTTTCTTAGTATTTTGTGCTGCTAAAGGAAAAATGCATGGAAAATGAGCCTTAACTAGGAATCCTTACTACTGACACAGTACAAACAGTATCATTGCTCTATTGCGTTGCTACAAAAGGCATTCATAAAGGGTATATGCATTGCAATTCATGCTCGATTGTTAGGGTTGGCTACTGTCATGGTTTAAGCCCAGCCAGCAGTCCAGAACCACACAGCTGTTAGCTCACACACCCTTTCCTAACCCCTTGCTCCTGGAGGGATGGGAGGAGAATCGAAAGAATGTAAGTCCCATGTGTTGAGATAAGAACAGTCCAGTAACTAAGGTATAACAGAAACCACTACTGCTACCACCAATAATAATAATGATAAGGGAAATAACAAGGGAAGAAAATACAACTGCTCACCACCCACCGACCAATACCCAGCCCAACTGAGCAGTGATCTAACCCTTCCAGGTAACTGCCCCCAGTTTATATACTGGGCATGGTGTGCTGTGGTATGGAATACCTCTTTGGTTAGTTTGGGTCAGGTGTCCTGTCTCTGCTTCCTCCTGGCTTCCCCTTCTCCCTGGCAGAGCATGAGACTCAGAAAGTCCTTGGTCAGAGTAAACATTACTGAGCAGCAACTGAAAACATCGGTGTTATCGGCGCTTCTCCCAGGCTGCAAGTCAGAAACACAGCAGTGCTCCAGCTACTAAGGAGGAAAATGACTGCTACTGCTGAACCCAGAACAGCTACGTGTAAACTCTGATAGTAATGCAAAGCCAAGAAGGTTAAATTTATTTACAAAATGTAAGAAAATACCCAGATGTGTCACAACAAAATGAAGAAATAATATACGTTTATGGTTATTTTCTCAAAGCATTGCCTTTTCAGAAGCTGCTTATGACAGTCTTGTCCTGGCTTGAAATTGTGATAATGTCAGTTTCCTGTTTGAACAGCTCTTCCACCTCTGCCCATTCACTAGAAGTGGTTTGGATTCCATTAAACACAGTATGTGAATGCTCAGATTGAAGAACAAAGCGTTTGAAAACTTAGTCACCATGTGATCTCTATGCCAAAGTAATGCTGTAAAGGAAAGCACTGAAAACTGAGCCACGCCTGCTATTTCCTTGGAGTGCTATCAAGATGTTCAGATTAGTATAATCTCCATAGATGTTATGTTACACAGTGTTTTGGTGTGTTACCAGGTGAGGGTTGTTTCTGTCAGTAACTTAGGACAAGGTTTGCTGAACTTTTTTGAAAGTTTGCTGAACAGTGGTTTCATGAGCTTTTCTAATTGGAGCTCGGCATGCTGGTGAACACAGTTCTGTGTCAATTTTGAGTGCCTGAAAAAAGGACCAAAACGGTGAGGAGAGTAACAAAGCAGCTGAAGATAAATGCATGTCAGTCACTTGTTACCCTGGCAGATAAAATCAGGCTCTCCTGTTGCCTGAACACATTCTAACCAAGAAGCTTAAATGATGCAAGACATCTTAGTGGATATTTCTCATGAGTTGCCATAAGTGGAAGGAGGAGGTCTAAGGTGACTGCTTTTGAGGAGGTGTAAGGGAGCACTGAACCTGTGAAGCTCATGCTGGGCCTCAGCTGTGCTGCATCTGTTGCTGTAGCCCATGACTTAAGGAACTTCAGAAGTTGCTGAGGTGATACCTTCTATCTCAACCAGTCTATTTGGTATGTGTGGAACTGCATTTGCTCACCAGTTGCTTAAAATAAGGGTTGTGGATTTTGCATGAATGCCTTTGCTGAAGCAAGGTAGTATATTCCTGCTGTTCATTAGAAACTGTGCTATTTACTCAATTATAATTGCAAGGCCAAAATTTCCACTAGCACTCAAGTAGTCAACTGAAGGGAAAGGTAGAGGAGTATTTGTGGACAGGGCTTGGCCTGATGTATTAATTGTAAGGATCTCAGTATGATTTTCATATCCCAAATGAATTTTGTAAGATTGGCAGCTTGGAAACAGTTTTACTTATAACTTCTGATAAGGTCTCATTAATACAAAAAAAAACCCCAACCAACCAGGGGTAGCAGCTCAGGCCAGGCACACAGTCTGGTAACACACAGCCCTGTAGTCTGTTCCTGGTGATTGCTGCTAAAAAAGGGGTGCCCTGCTTTCTTGGGGCTGTTGTGATCTGTCAGGCTTTTAATCCAGTGACAATTCCTTGCTGTTTTCTTTCCAATTCTGGCGCTCAGATGGTTTTTTAGATGTAGTGGAGCTGGCATGTTGTTCTTTATAGAGGAATCTGCATTCAGTATTGAATTTTTAATAGCGTCTTGTTCCAGTCTAGACAGTTAAACAACTGTTTTCAAACAGTGCCACCTTTCTACGTGTCCTGCTGTCACATCAGAATTCTTTTGAACACTTGCCAGCTTTCATTTTCATCTAGAAATACTTTGTCATTCCTCATTTTGGTGTGGTTTCTTTTCATCTTTTTTCATCCCTAATCCTACACCAGAGGGCAAAATCTTAAGAAACCGCTTTGAAAAAGCTGAGTATATGTAATCCCCCATGTGACACAACGATACATGATGGTCTTTGCAGAGCATGGGATGGGGTTGTCCTGTGGGCAGGTTCTCTTCATCAGCTGTTCATGGCTTCCTGAGGACTCCCTGGACCTGGAGGTACCAGCAGTGTCTGTCAGATCACCCAGCTGAAACAGTGCACTTGGGAGCTGGCTACTCCTGTCCTTCCCTCTAACCATGAATACTGTCCTGCGGTCCTAAAGACTGCAGCTGTCTCTTCCAGGCCATCCCTAAAATCCTAAGATCCTAAAGCATATATAGTATTTTGGAGACACTTTGAATGGAAGAAAACATCAAGCACTCAGCTGTGCTCTTTTATTAAAACACTGCACTGATGTGTGGGAAGCATTCTAAAATGGATCTGATGAACCAGATACTCCCTTCAGTGAGTTTCCAGTCCCACAGAAGACTTGATACAGATCTAGGTTTATACAGGTGGAAACGTCCTTTTCCACCAGAAGACTTCAATACCAGAACTTGCCTTCCCAGCACATGTGCGGAAACGGCAGCCCAGATCTACTGACTAATTTTTCACTATATGACCCTGAAAGATCTGTATTTACTCAGGCTCAGGGAGCAGAATAGGGGCAGTTTGTTAGCCATGACTGAGATATGTTAGCCATGATACAGAATGAGACAAGGGAAAGGGGGTGTGTGTATAGTAAATATCCAAAGAATTGAAGAAATACTTTGAGGTATTGAAGAAAGTGAAGGCTCTAGATTATAAGAAGTAGTTGATACAAAACTTTTTGCTTAATGAGCAGCTACAGCAGCATTTGCTTCACCTTTCACCAGCAGTTTGACAATAAAACTCTTTGTTGTTAATGGTAACTTTCCCAAGATCCACCTGCAGGGTTGCGGGTGGTCTGCACGCTGAGAAAAAGCTCACTAGGATCTCGGGTGAGGACTGGTTGTGGTGCAATGCTGAGATCACTGTCTGCGCCAGAGCACCCTGCAAGCTTCTACCTGTCCTCACTAGCACAAAATTATCTCACCCACCTCGTTATAAATTGCCTGCAGTAACAAGCTTGAACAATGTGAAGTCAAACCTCAAATACCAAATGGGGGAACACTGTATTCCTGGAGCCGGCTGTATAAAGATTGCATGTCCAGTCCATGTAGCAATAATGTCTCTTGTGTACCTAGACTAAAGTTTTCTTCTTTTTTTCTCAAGTTAAATTCTGATATAGAGAACAGTGAGCTGAAATTAATATTCTTTTTTCCTGCTGACTGCATTGGGTTTTTTCCTAAGACTCTGCTTCTGAGTACAGCTTTTTATTTATACGTATACTTAATGTATTTGCACCAGGACAGAGATTATTTTTTAAATTGAAAGAAATACACTCAGTTCTTTTTCTGCTTTATTTTTTAAGGCCACAATAATATATAAAATATATAAATGGAAAATTTGTATGTTTGAAAATACTACGTACCTACTGCAAAAAAATACTCCTCTAGGTGTTCTGTTAAACTTACAGTACTTAACTAGGTGGACTGAAGAACAAACATAACTGGGATATGACTTATGCAGCCGGTTGTCTCGTGACTGCCTGCTTTCTCCAAAGTGGTGAAGGGAGTACAGTGGGAGCTACACAGGTAACTTCCACCTGGGATGGCTGCTTTTGAAGTCTGGGCAAGCATGCTTTCTCTTTATACAGCAGTCGATTTCTTGAGCTTCAAGTAGTGTTCAGTCACCCACTGTCTTTCTCATGATCTCTGCAGGACTGTTCTCTGGGTTGTCTCCAGTACATTGTCAGGTTTGGATTCTTCAGTGCCTTGTTATTCCTTACTAAAAGTGATAAAAAATAAAATTATTAGTTCGTTCTTTTCCTTGGTACATGAAAGCAGTAATTAGATCTGGTGTGCAAAGACCACTTTTTGGGTCACAAAGACCACATTTGAGTCACTTTATCTTGCTGAACTCTGACCTCTTTTTACATAGCAACGAGTGCTTTGTTTATTTGTTACCATCTACATCATGTTTCTTATCACAGCCGCTAGCTCTGCCCACACGTATCACCTAGATTTTGATACAAGTCAGGGAATGCTAACATTACAGTGAAGACTGTTACTCCTGCACAGTTGGTATTGATTTCTTGAAATATCAATAAATCATCAATACTGGTTTATTTCATCGGGACAAGATCTGCTAGATCTGTCAGACAGGTTTATCATGGCCAAAGTCTTGAAAAACGCAATGAATAGCTACACCCGTATTCCGACAAACAAAAGGCACTCTGTTTCAGAGGTGCCCAGGAGTTGCAAGAGGTCACTGCATGGTGTTCATTGATCAGACTGCTTTACAAAAAGCCTGAATAGTTGCTTCGGTAGCGATTTAAGGTGTTAACTTGGGAATCTTAGGGTTTGTGCCCAGAGGTCACTGGAAGCAGAGTGGTGCTTTAGAACTTGTAAAATGAATTTCTAGTAAATAAAAATTAAGGTTTGTAAAAGTCTCCCTGTAATCATAATATTCTATGTGTTACATTTAAGGTGTTCTGTAGGACCCTATGAGGATAAATTTATAAGATGAGAAATTTTAAGAGGTAGACTTGATTAGTCTGAAGTTTTCAGACATGTGATTTTAAGATTCTGCTTCTCCTTCCCATGCAATACCTGGTTTGTCATCATGTGGCTACTTACATTGGCCAACTCACTCAGTGGTGGGGTTTGGTATACTGAAGTCTGAAATTCCGAGATCCTTTTTAGACTTTCCTTTGTTTCACTTCCCAGAGGGCAGGTAATGTGTCAGAGCCAGCTCCCTGTTTAACTGATGTCTCATAGGTAGGAAGAGAGGGAGAAAAAAAAACAGGGAAGGGAGACTGCGTCATATTGGAGGAGGAGGGTAGCAAAGAAAAATGAGCTTTCTTAAACAAATCGCATGCAGAGGGACACGTTGCCAGGGCTTGGGCACTTCTCGGCAGGGGCTCGGCTCTCTTCCCTGCTGGCCACGATGCAGGAAGCAGCAGGAGTGCTGAAGGAGGGCTTCCTCGTCAAACGGGTGAGTGTATCCATCCCTCTCCGTGGAGATCTGCTCCAGCGTGGAAGCAGCCCCTGAGCAGGAACTGGGTTGAGCTAGGGCTCGTGGCAACGCAGCCACTGGGTATGAGGGGCTCCTGCCTGCTCCTGGGAAAGGAGATCCTTCAGGCCTGTGCAGGTGCCTGCTGGGGGAGCTGCACGAACTGCAGGTGCTCACTAACTTCCCTCGAGTTTACCTGTATTGGCCCTGTATTTACTCAGGGGAAAGTGAATTAGCCATCAACATTACTCAGGTATCAGAATGCCATTGTGTCCGTACCTCTGTAAGGGGCACATAAAAAACTACCAGCAAATGGCTACAGGGCAGCAGTGGAAGTGGCCACGGGAGGATGGAGACAGGGAAGGTGTTTGTGCCTTCTTTAGTGACCCAGCTGAGCCGTGTTTCCCATTTCATGTGAGGCGATGGAGAACAGGCTATTCTGTTTGCAGGGGATCAGAGCAATGGAAACATAGAAGTGTGTTTGAAATAACTTCTTTTTACCACGCCCCTCAAACTGCACTGTAAGAAAATTTTAGCCAAAAGCATGGAGAAAAGAGCTGAAAGATGGTGTCACACGTTTCAGACTTTCCAGTGCTTCTCCCTGCAGGACCAACTCAGTCACAGCTGGGACACAAGAAGGCGATTTAACAAGCAGCGCAAGTTGCTTTTAGTACCAAGAACCTGTTTCAACGACTAATATGGTCCTTGATTGCACGCCAAAAATGTGATCAGTTCAAAGCTTTGCCACGCCTCAGGAAATGCTTTTCTACAGTACGTGGCAGTGCTTCTGGTGCTGACATGAAGGTAATCCTGGTCAGGAACCCTTCTGGCAGCGGTGGCCAGCCACCAGCCATGTGAAGCCATGCTATATACAGAGAAGGGCTGCACAGCACAAGCTATTCCTCATCAACCCTTGTGCAGTGAGGACAGAGCAGTCCCAGCTCCTGGTCTCTTCTCTGGGCCATGGTTGTATTTTGTGGCTCTTAAGTGACCCCTGAATTCAAGATGGGAAGCCAAGGCACCAAGTGTGTGAGAGGAATAAGTTGTTGGCAGTACACTGAGCTGTAACTGCCCACAGCCTGTACAACATCACCGAGACACAGTTTGATAGGAAGGAGACCACAGAGAAAATGACAAAAGGGAACTGGGGAAGAGGGGGACAAAAGATCCTTAGGAAAAAAAATGAGGAAGGTGATAGCGGAATAGACTTCACAACTCGTTGAAGTTGTGAAGTAGGTATGCTTTATTCAGCTGAAGGCACACGGGGGATTGGTCCTCCAAAAGGCATGCGCACCTCAGTGCCGTTTTCCTTCTACATTTATCCTGTAAAGTCGTACATATGTATTAGGTTGCATAATACGCCTATACATATTCATATTCTACCCCCCCCCCCCTCCGCTTTGTATTATAATGAGCTAAAAGGCTCTCCACACATGCGCAGTGCCTCCTGATGGTCTTGGGCAGGGGTCTTCAGATGAAGTAAGTAGTCTTCCTCTTGTGGGTATGGGTCTTCAAGATGAAGTAAACGAGTCTTCCTCAGGCTTGAACTTTTTACCTCTGGTCCTCACGCATGCTCTTTAGGAGCTGGATGGGTCTGGTCTATGTCCAATTGATTTAATGTGCTATTCTCCTACTAGGAGGTTCTGTCCTGGTACTGTCTGCTAAGGCATCTGCTGAGCTTGTCAAACAAGCTATAACTTAAGCAGTACCCCCTTGTACAACCCCCCTGTACATTTTGTCTAACCTCCTTGTACAACCCCCCTGTACACAATAGGCCACATTAGTTTCAGAAGGGGAGGGATCAGGTAAAGGAAAACAGAGATATCTTAAGAAGAGAGCAGAAGCAGGGAGATTATCTAAATGCATTATAAATGTCTGGATTACATATTGTAATGTATTACAAAGAAAATGTGTGGAAGTCAGGTAAAGGTAAAGGAAAAAAGGTAAGGCAATCTCCTGAAAAAGGGAGGTCCCCATAAAGGAAATCAAAGAGCCATAGCAAAGAACATACCCTCAGGAAAAATGGCCATGGGACTTTACAACAGGTGAAAAACAAAAACCCAGACCACTGAAGAATGCAAAGTGAAGGGGAGAACAAATCCAAGTTAGATAAATTGTACTTAGTATAGACTAAAAGGCATCAGGCAGAAAGTGCTCTGGATTTTATAGGCTCTTTACCCCACCTTTTCTTGGAAATTGTTGGGGTTCCCCTTTACTCATAGAGAATTAATGAGCTTTGACCCCTGCCACAACTGGACTTCACATGTTCCCTTCTTCTAGCTATGCCCACCCTCTCTCAGGTCTGAGCTTCCTCTGCCCAGCGGTTCGCCGGCTTGCTGCAGTGCTCCACAGCCTGCAGAAACACAAGTCAGCCTCTCACCCCAGGAAGCTGGACCTGACACTTCCAGACAGGACTGAGCCTGTTGGTGTTAGCCCTCTCTGGGTTTGCTCTCCTGTACTGGCAAACTGAAGAGAGCCAGGAGCTGTTTGCAGAGGGGAAAGAAGGGATTTTGTCTGTATTCTGACAACCCAGGAGGCATCTGACAGCAGCCTTCATTTGGTCTTTTGTCATTGAAAAGTATGTCTCCTTTACTGAAACGGTAACACAGGGAATGGTCTAGCCCTGGAGACTGGAGCAGGTAGGGTAGAAATAAATCACTTATTAGCAGTTAGATGGGATGTAAGGAAAAGCCAATTCACCCAGGAAGGTGCTCTCAAAACCACCTGGCACCTACAGCCACATCTCAATGACAGAAAACAAAACACATCAAACACCACCCAGGGTCTCTGGAGATGAGAAGTTTGTCTCCAAAAGCCCTCACACGTTTCAGATTTACCCTATTCCTGCCTGGTGCTGTCAGTGGGCAGGTATGCTCCTAAATAACAGCTCTTTGGGATGATTCATGTGAGCTTCTGCAAGAAACAGCTCTTGCCAGAAAAGAAGATGTTCTTGCTGGAGAAACAGAAAAGCATCTTTCTATTGCTCCATGATTTTATAGTGATGGAGCTGTGCTGCTTTGTTACTAAAAATGTGTATTTATTTCAGGGAGAACAGGACTCATGCTGATTTCTTGTTACTTTTCGTACAGTTTCCTACTTTTTTATGGTATTTTCATCTCCCCCAAAAAAGGAAAATATGGTAATTTCTCAATGCTTGTGTTAAAGTTAGCTATGTGATTCTTCCCCTCTAGGGACACATTGTCCGTAACTGGAAAGTGAGATGGTTCGTTCTGCTTCAGGATAAGCTGCTGTATTACAAAATTGAAGGAGGCAAAAAGGAACCTTCTCCAAAGGGCAGGATCCTTTTAGATGGCTGCACTATTACTTGTCCATGCCTGGAATACGAAAACAGACCGGTAGGAGTGGAAAAATGTATCCCTTCTCAGTGGCACTCACTTTCTAACTTCTCCATAGAATTTTCCTCTCTTTCTGACTTCTTTGATTATTGCAACCATATCACTGGGGTGTTTCCAGAATTAAGCCCAGCCAAAAGCAAGCTGCCGTTAGCAATGCAACCAGGACAAGCAATGAGTTCCCCAATTGTGTCTTTGCTGTTCTCTGTGCCCAAACCTGAGTCACAGACATTAACAAGAAACAACCCCACCCCCCCACACACATAGTGGTAAGAATAAATTCAAATTCATCAGCCCAGCAGTGTGTGGAGAAAGGACATGGACAGGTCAACAAAATCTGAGGAGGATGGGAAAAAAAGGAGTTTTGTGCGAGAGGGAAATATTTAATCTATGGTGGTTGCCTTAAACCCTGGCTGTGTCTATGGGATGCTCCCAGGCATCCAGGAGAGACTGCTTTTTCCTTCCCCAACTTGACATTGCTGCTGTGGAGTTTCCAGCAAGAGGGTTCCGGAAGGGAAGCTCCTCCTGTGCTGCTCCCCTCACCCATGGGTAGCAGCAATGCAGCCTTCCTCTGAGGGGGGACAGAAGGGAAACAACTCTGGAAGTTACTGGCTATTTCAGTACTTCTCATAGCAGAAAGAGCCTAGTGAGAGTTCACAGTTGTAGAGAAACTGGAGATCTGGACCTGAAAAGCTCCACAGTCAACAGCACAATCCTGTGTAATGCAGCATCTGGGTGGTCTGTTCTCTTGTAAGTACCACAGGCTCCATGCATGCAAACTATGCTTGGAACTGAAAACATAGGAATCTGTGTTGCGCCCATCATCCTTGTAGCCAAGAGTTGCTCTCTACTGCTCAGGTGGGATGGCACATCAGACCTATTTGTGTCACTTAATGCACGTGGAGGACAATAGCTAAATGATGTTATTGCTTTGCACTTCTGTCTCCACAGCTGCTCATCAAGCTAAAGACAAAAACCAATACAGACTATTTCCTTGAATGTTGCTCCAGGGAGGAGCGAGACTCTTGGGCTTTGGACATCACAGGAGCTATTCATGCTGGTCACCCAGTACAGGTACAAGAGCTTCACAGAATGAAGAACTCTTTTAAACTACTAGAGAATATCAGCCTCCAGTAAGTGTATATGGTTTATTCTTCTGCCGTTGCTGTAGTTTGCAAAACACCCATGCCAATGTATGGAGAGGGTCAACGGAAGCTCCTCTCTGCACAGATTCCTTCCTGTGTGGCCAAGAGCCTCTAAACTGGTTGCTCTGCCCTAGGTTTGCATATACTCTTGCCAGAGCATGGGAATGCACTTCTCCCAACTGTTACTTTTGGGACTATTTGGCTTCTGCACAGACATCTCACTGCTGGCTTGAAGACCTTCCTAGTCAGCTACAAAGGTTCTCACTGGGGAGATGTATTATCTCAGAAGATGTAATACCAGGGAAGGACTAAATGATGACATTGTTCATGCTATGCTGGTGAGCTTTCAAAGCTGGTAGCTGATATCCAGAGTAGGATTTTTAGGGTGCATCATGTTAAACAAGAGAAAACAGAGAACTGGCTAAGAAATAGAAAGATGACACAAATTTGGTTTATGTTGAAAACGTAAATGGAGGTTGACTATAGCTCAGTTTGAAATGCTTTAAATTGAAAGTTACTTCATGAGGCAACTTGTTTAGTGCTGCTATTGGGAGAATAAAGTTTTCCTATATTGTACTTAGGACAAAACTTCTGGGTGTATACCTAGGCTCCTGTCCTTCCATCTTTGTGTTGGTAATTGGGAGGACATCCAAGGCACTGACAGAAGTATGTGGCAATTTCTGCCTGTTTTTTTATTCTACTAACTTTGTCCTTTGCTCTCCTTTGCAGCCACATAGTGGAGAGAATGTGTGACAGCAGTACCGGAATTAAGCTAACCCGCAACTTGCAACAAGGCAACAGATACAAAGAGACTTTCACAGGTGCACCTACTGCAGGCAAAGAGCTTCCTCACATCTAACACACTACATTGCAAAGACAAGGGAGCTACTGTACTACCTGCATAGTGGAATGAGTTGTGGTCCAATGGAAAGTAATGGTACAACCAAGCTTTCCAACACCTTTCTCTCATGCTTTTTTGGATATATGGAAGCACACAAGACCCCAAACTTTCAGTCAGCCTTGCACTTCATTGACAGTCTTTGTGATAGTGCCAAAATACTTCAGCAAATGAAGACCTGTGTAGCAGTAGGCCATTTGTCTCATTTTGGAAGAGTACACTGCCTTGGGTATGAGAACTGCCTTTCTCCCTGCAGGTTCTGCCCTGGTGGACTGGCTCATCTCCAACAGCTTTGCTGTGTCACGATTCGAGGCCATCACCTTGGCATCCATGCTGATGGAGGAGAACTTCATCAAGCCTGTGGGAGCACGCAGCACTGAGGCCACACGCTTCAGCGACCTCTCTGAGCAGTTTCTTGATGACTCTACTGCACTGTACATATTTGTAAGTGATGCAGCTGCCCACAGAAGCACCTCTTCATCACGTGCTTGATTTGGGCAGTGGTAAAGGGGGGACACACAGTGTGCAAACAAAGGCAGAACATGCAGGCTGTGAAACCAAACAGAGAAGGAGCAGCTCCAGGCTTTTAGGAGCACCAACACATGCACTTTTGCTGGAGACAAATAGCTGCATGGGTATGGAGGGATCTACAGATTACATACTTGGGCAATAAAAGGGCTGTGTCCCTTGAGTGCAGTGCTGTCTCTGCATTTAACAGAGGCTGTAGTTATGCTAACACTGAAGGCCACAGTGCATGCGTGGGCTTTACAGCTGTAATTTGTTGCTTGTAAATCTTGGAGCTACAAAGCTGAGCAGCAGGGCTACAGTGTAGAATTTACTGAAGATATATAAACTAAAAGCAGGTCAAAGAAAATAAAATGCAGAACTTTGTACTTAAAAGTATGCTTAGATTCAACAGAGAAGTGGAACTGTCTTTTCTGTATTTTGCAGGCTGAGAGCAGTAAGAAAAATATCAGTCCCAAAGAAGAGCTACAATTTAATATCTCTGAATTAAGCGGCACCATTGTGAAGCAAGGATTCTTAGTGAAACAGGTAAATACCATCTTTGAACCTTCACTGGGAAACAAGAAAAATTACAGCTCCTAGGGCTTCCTAGAGGATAGACGTGATTTATACAAGCATGGCTGGACAGTTGTGGCCAGCAGAGCTAATTTGCCTGTCAGTAATACTATCACAGCTCATGTGGTGAAAAATGTTTAGTTGTAAAGGAATGAGCTATAGAACTTGCTGCTCAAGCAGGATTAATTGGATATTCTGTATATATTGAGTCCATACTGAAAAGTATAAAATAGTATCAAAAGCAAAAGTCCCACACAAAGTCCAAACGCCACCGGAGGCGTTATATGCACTTCCAAGCAGAAGCTTTGTTCCTCTGGTCAAACCTGTCCCATCCAGGTCATGTGAGTAGCTATGGAATTCTGCTGGCGACAGACAAATTTCAAAGCTGAGTAGACTGACTTTTACATGAAGTGGACATTTACCTCTGTGACAGTCACTCATGTACACATGGATCTCTGGTAGTAGTGAGACCTGTTTTCTTTGGCCACAAGAAAGTCCTCTTTACAGGATCCTACCTCTAGGCTTCAAGACTTGATTTTCAGCCCTTGCTATGAACAAGACAAGGATCAGTCATGCTGTTTCAAAGCATAACGCAGCCACCTGCAGAGAGAAACCTACATGCTCCACTACTCTGGAGCTTTGTATCATGAGCTGTGATTTTAGTGTTGTGAAAACTGGATTATCAGATACATTTAATCTGAAATAAAGAGAAGGAATCAGGGATATAATCTCTTGGTCCTGTCACTCTGTTTTCTTGGTTCTTAGCACAAGGAAGGGAGAGAGGAAGGAATTATCAATGTATGAAGAAGGATGTTAAGCAGAAAATCCTGGGAGTTACCAAGATGTCAGAAAAGATTTTTCTCTGTTGGCTCCAAAACCTCTTATTTTCAGTACCCATTTAGGTGTCCCCTACAGCCTGCAGGGAAATGGTCATTTCAGGGGATATTTACTGTTGGTAACTTTAATTCTTCTGTTTTGCAGGGGCACAAGAGGAAAAACTGGAAGGTGAGGAGATTTGTTTTGAGAGCTGATCCTGCTTTTTTGCACTACTATGACCCTACTAAGGTAGGTGAGTGGGGATTTGCTACCCCTAGAAATCCTCTTACAGACCTGAACGTTATAATGAAAATACAATCATGCTGTAGATGTTTTTCGTACTCAAATATCCTTCTGGGTTCCTCTATCCATTTCCTGGGGATTAAGACCTCTCTTGCCTTACCCTGGGAGATTGTCCTTGTAGGATTTTCTATCCGTATATCTTCCATCCTGTCTTTCCCCAGTGAGACTCCTTTTCCTTAGCCAAGTCTTCTTGGGATTTGTCTTCTGCTGTACCTACACAGTCTGGGACTTCTTCCTGGGATTCTTCCTGGGCTGTGATCTTTCTGGGTTGACATCCCACCACTTGAGGGTCATACTGCTACTGTGATTTTTCATGATTTTATTCCAACATTGGGGAGGGTCTTCTTGATGCCAAAGTATCTATAGGCATTACAGCTACTCAGTTTTAAACTTGCTCAGAGAATAGTAGCATTTCTCTTAATGGATTTAATAATCAGTGTGGGCAACCCAGAAGGATATATGGATCCATCCACCCCAGGTGTATAGGGTATCCCAAAGGCTAACACGTTGCTAAAAGAACATGTATAGAAATGCTTTATGTGACTTTTTAAGGAAAACACAAACACCGTAACAGTGAAAAGAGCTTATGGAGCAGGTTCATTTTCTGTTGCCTGTTTCTTTGTGGGTTTTTTTTTTTTTTTTTACACTGCAACTCACCCTTGTAATGTCATAAACTCAACTGCAGAATCTGAAGATCAGACAAGGGCACCAGCCTCCTAGAGAAAACAGTCAGATTTTTCCCATATATTTTTTCCCATATGTTTTCCCCTATGTTCTCAGTGAAAAGCAGTAGAAATATATATTTTAATATGGATTGTTACTGATAAGACTATATTAGGTTTAGAATGTGATTGTTATCCTACCCATGTGTTTAATAGATCTCCACCATTCCCAGATACATCAGGCAAACATCTAAGACTGAAAAAACATATTAATGCATTTTATTACATGTCCTAATTGACTTCTCTTATAATATGGATGTTTTGTACCTGGAAAGACTGGTATTACATCTCCATCTTCATAAAATTAATTGATGTGCTCTTGGAAATAATTCTAATGATGATATTTTCCCAATAAGCCTCATTTCCTTTTCCTTTGCAGGAAGAAAACAGGCCAGTAGGTGGATTTTCTCTTCGTGGCTGTCTTGTCTCAGCTCTGGAGGATAATGGAGTCCCAGCAGGTAAGCATGAGTCTCTAAACGTTCATACATACATATTTTTGCCATAGCAATGCAGTGTTTAGGTGTGGGTTTGTGTGCAGCTGTCTGTATGCACAAGTGGGCTGGCTCCCCCTTCCCCTTTGCAAGCGGGGAAAGAGGCACATCATAAAAAATCCCCATACTGCTTGGTTGTCCACACCAGGAGGGCCTTTTTTTAGGGTTATTTCCACTTATCTTGGGTGTTCCCCTTCTTAAGGACTTTTCTCAGTCAGATGACCTTTGAGACAGTCCTAAAACACTCATTAATATTCCAGAATTAACAAAGAGGAAACAGTTTCTTTTTGGATGTTAATTCAGTCTTGAGTCATCCCCTGATGCCATCCCTTTTCTGTGTTCTCTCTACTTATGCTATTACCTTTTCCTTTTCAATCTGCTATAACCCAAATGTAAGAGAAACCTAAAGAAACCAATACAAAAACCAGTTCTGCTAGTAAATATGCTTAGCTTAGGCATTTGTCCAGAGCTTTACCCTCACAGATAAGAGTTTCTGCTGTTAAAGCAATTTATTTTATGACAGTAAGCACAATGTGTGGATCTTAATTACGAAACATCTTTCTAAAGACAAAATACAGGGTCTGAAAAATGTGAGGTGCAGGGGGAAAGGGGAAAAGAACAATAGAGCCCATTGCTAACAAGAACCCGAAGTTGGGCATAAGCAAATCTTATCTACTACTGCACAAACTGGTCAGGAGTTCATCCCTCCATGGCATAACTCAAGTAAGATTCTCCATTTAAACAGTGGCTATTTTATATGTGATGCATAGTGAACAGTAGTTCAAACAGTCTATGTGAGGGGTGTCTGTACTGTATCTTCATTTTGCAGAAGGGAAATCAAAGACACAAGAGCTATCTGTAATGAAATGGAAAGGTCTGATATTCTAATTCACTAACTTAAGTCTTCCTTATGAAGCTTCACATTCACCACAAAGCATTTCTCTGTGCAGCTTCCTGATTTGCCATATTTTTTTCTCTGCAGGAGTGAAGGGCAATGTGCAAGGCAATCTCTTCAAAATCATCACAAAAAATGACATTCATTATTACATCCAGGCCAGCTCCAAGGCAGAGCGAGCACAGTGGATTGAGGCAATCAAACCACTGACATGAGTAAGGTGGAATCCATGCCAAATGACGAGTCACATCTGTGACCAAGTTTCCTGCTTTCATTGTCTGTGACTGTTGTTTTGCTCTTAGATAGTCTATTCTTGTTACTTGTATCTCCATAGCACCCATCAATTCCTGACAGACCAGCATCTTAGGTGCCTAGGAGTCATGCAGATCCAGAGTAATTCGCCACCAAGAACTTAACCATCTAACAAAAGACAACAAGTGGATACAGGCACCTGTTGCTTTACAAAGAAACAATGAGATACAATATTCCAAGGTGGAAGAAAATAATTACTTTTGTACAAGTATTCAGTCTATATTTGACAGATTCAGGTTGTGCTTTATCCTAAAGCAGAAATGCCTTGTTCCTTTCCCCTTTATAAAGGGGTTTATAAACTTAATTAGTTAAGACTGACTGAATCAAAGTCATGGAAGGTCCTGGTGTCTAAGGCTGCCTTTCTTGGTATACACAAGAGCCTTGTGCTAAGCCACAGTCCAGCTGCTAGGATAATCACTAATGCAAAACATACAAAGTGTCTGTCCATCTGTCTGCTCTACCATTTGGTTCTCTGTTAGGTTGGAAAAGACCAAAGGATCTTCCTCTCCAGTATATAAATTATTCTTGTGCTGGTAATGGCCCGCAGCAGTACAGGATCCTGAGTATCAAACCAGACCAGTGGAAGTTATTCCAGACAAATGCCTTTGCTGAAGATACTGGATAAAACCACCCAGCCATAGAAATGAGACTTTTCCTCCTGATTATGACAGTAAATTCATTTATGTGGAACACCATTGGGACTAAGAGCTCCAATAGCAGTTATGACTATTGCTTTTTTTTATTTCAAGTCATTAAATCTTCCATTATTTGTCTGCTAATCTTGACTTTGGTATCATAACATTTTTTTTAAAAAGGTCAGTGCATTTGAATCTCCTGTGCTCTTTAAACATGATTTTTCTCAGAAGGCAGTTTGAATATATGAAAATGACGGTTTCATGCATTGTAAATTTAGATTTTTATAGAAACTGAGACATTCTCCACAACACCAGAGGGTATAATGGAATGTGTAAGATGAATAAAACACCTAACCAGCCTGCTGATACCCTATTTTCATAAAATTCTTCATGTTATCTGAGTACCCGTATCTGACAGCCAGACTCTGCAGAGACTCCAAAATCACTCTGAAGACAGCATGCTATACATCTTCCCTGAAGTCACAGAGGAATTTGATAGCCCTTTATCCACAGAACCACCTCTTTGCAGATTTTTTGTTCTCTAAGTTATGTACCAAAACCAAAAAGCCTCTTCATTTAAAATCTTTTCCTTCATGTGTTATAATCAACCAATTATAACAGAGCCAAAGACAGCAGCTATAATATATGCTTCTATATGTATTAAAATAGCCATGTATTTAGGACTTTTTTTTCTAAATACGCAGCAATGAAATAACAGCACAACACTGACGTGCATTCAAATATTTAACAGACCTGGTAAAGAAGTTTGCCAGCAAAGATGCAGTTTTAATTAGGTATAAGAATGTGCAATGCAGTTTGAGCTACAGATACCATTTCCTAAGGCTGGTCCAGAGAAGACTGAAATCCACAGCTGTTGAAAACTTACAATTCATGCTACCTGCAAGAGACAGGGGTGCTGGTAAGGCATTTATTGCTCTGTACTAGGAAGCACAGATGGCTTTGTGCTGATTGAGCAGAGCTCCCAGGAAAACCAATTCCTGCTGATAACGTGAACCCTGCTGCGGCCCACCAGGCTCCATTATTCACTTCTATGAAAAACTCTTGCTTCTCTTTTCTCAGACCCACCATCTGCACACTGCCCAGTTCTAGTCATAGGGTAACAGCCACCCCACTTCAGAGGACTGAGCTGCGCCAGCTGACATGCCAGGGCGGTTAGGGGATGTGAGATGATACTGCATAGCATCATAAATCTTGCAGTTTGTGAGGCCAAAAGGGTATCTCAGCAAAGGCTCTCTGATTTACCAGGAGAGTAAATCAGGACCAGCCACAGCCCTGCAACTGCTGAGTGTGTATGAGGAAAAAAAAGTGTATATTTCAAACACATCAGCAAATTAAAAGATATAGTTCCCACTCTCCAGAATCAGCCAGGGGGGAAAGATAAACATTTCTCAGACAGAAAAAAGTACATTTGCCTCTGTCCCCTGCTGATATTGTGGTTTCTTTTTTTTTCAAGCCACTTTGGTAAGTTTGATGTCCCCTGAGATCTGCAAAGCTTTCACCAAGTTCAGGGGCTGAATGCGGTGAGTGAAGTCACAGAGCTGCCGTCCATCAAGCAAGACTCGTATTTGCTGATGTTCACATAAGAGCTCCATCTGCAATGGAAAAGGACAGGGGAAAGTGCTAAAGATCAGCATCAGAGTTGATTTTGCCATCATGGACTTAGAACCCCATGTGACGGGGATAGTGAACCACAAAGTCTACCCATTTTTCTAAAATGCCCCTAATAAATAACCTACCCTCTGTTGAGATGATTCTGTAAAGCTCCTTATAGTGAGTTCTCTCTCTGAGACTAGAGAAGGGCTTGAAGTGTTGCTCTCTGTGTCATAGTAGACCACTTAACCCACCAGTGTCAATAGTTAGCTATTTGTGGTCATATATGTAACCTTCAGCCTTTTTTTCCTCCTTTTCTCCATTCTATTCATAATAGCCCAAAAATTACCTTAAATGTGTCGCCTGCTGTAAATGGGAAATAGGGAATAGTCTTCTCTTCTTTTCCCCACTTTCCAGCAATTCTTGCATTTCGGGTGATGGATTTGTCACTAAAGTTGACTGTAAATAACAGTCCGACATCTTTGTTTGCATCCACTGGATCACAGAGCAGTGTCACTGAAAAGCTGAAAAAAAACCCCAATTAAACAACAGGGTCTTTCAGAAGGATAAAACGACATGGTAAACACAGCAGATGCCCGTAAAGATGAGAGACAGCCCTTGATTTCTTGTCATGCTGAAACATAGGACTTCTACAGGCTTAGAAGCTGCAGAAAGGTATGAGAACAGTCTAGTCTTTGTTTTTCCTCCAGTTTTCAGTAGGATACTAGTGACTTTTGATGTTGCTTTCTCTCTCTTGTGACTGAAATCAAACCAACATTTGTGCATGAGCCAATTCTAAGTTGTGTCTTGAAAGAGGTTACAGCAAAGTCTTTACCAGTGGAAGCACTGGAGCTGACCACAGTAGCTGCAAGAAAGTGTAATGATAAGCATAGTTGCTGTCATCCTCATTAAACATATCAATGAACCTGCATCTCTTGTGGCAAAAAACACGAGTTTTTAAATGGTGATGATTCCAGCCCCCAGCAGATGACCAAGACTCAGGTTCAAGGTTGCACCTCTTCCTGGAGGAGAAATGCCACTTGTGTGCCCCTCCATTTTGCACTAGATAAGAGCAAGAAGTAGGAAATCCTGACAGGGCAGTCAGAAAGGCTGAACAGTGAATTCTTTCTTGCTCTTTTAATCTTAGTCTAAGAGCAGGAAAATTAAAGCTATAAATTATGAATCTGTTTGATTTTCTTCCCCCAAAGAGCATAGACTCTCAAGAAATCTTTTGAATTTGGAAGACAAGTAGGAGCATGTGTGACAGGGTGAACCTCCCACCAGCCCCTTTACCTACCTCTTGGGGTTGGAGTGCACCATTCCTATGACTGTGAGTTTCATGGCTGGTCTCAGGCCACCTTTAATTTCACCAACATAATGCTCCACCTGCAGGGAACAGTGATAGTGTGCTGCAGTAGGTGATGCTGTGGGGTTGCTTGGGTCACCTCATGTCATTTGATCTAATTTTTACATGTACAGAAGAATTGAAAAATATTTCTGAACTAAAGTACTTCTGGCACTTTCAGTATAAAATCTGTCAGTTCTGGTATCCGAGTGAAGCAAGAAGGCTGCCATAAGTGAACGAATGACTGGTAATGAGGCATCGGCTGTCAGGATAAGACAGACAGCTCTGGCAGGGCAGTTTCTGACCAAAACTGCTGTCAGTAAAAAGAGTGGCCACTGTTGGAGCTCTGCCTGACTGATAGGTGACGGCGTGCCTCAGGTGGCTCTGGGAACAGCCACCACTGACTTTAGGTGACTGATGTCACTCCTCAAGACTAGAACAGGTACTGCAAGTGCTGTGGTGACCCACACAGAGTGCCAGGACCCAGATAGCTGACACATGTGGGATGAGCCAGTGATGGCTGCTATGCTGTAATGATACAATACATCTGGTTGCAGCACTCCATGCGGAACATCAAAGGCTTTGTGGCAGCATGATGCAGAGGGCAGGTTCTCTGTGAACTAACTCTGCCAGCACAAATATGTTAACAGATTTCAGTAGGCTAACTTGACACCAGCAGGCTTTATACCAGGCCAGGTAGCCTCTGTTCTCCACTCTAAGACCATGAAGCCAGCACAGATGCTACTGAGCTCCTGTGTGTTGACAGAAACACAACTGACCTCACAGATGATCCCAATCATACCTGTCCCCATCCGTTTATATCAAAGCCAGAAAATGGCTTCTTGGTGGAACTACTTTTGTCCCATTCAGACACCTGTAGTTGCAAACTCCACCCAAAGATAAGAGCTGTATTTACTTTCCAAGTCCTACCCTAACAGCCTTGATGGTTGGTGGAGAAATTAATACAGGTAATGGTTGACAAGGAAAAATAAAAGAGAGATCCTGGAAAAAAGTGTTACGGATGATCTGAGACTTCAGTTTCAGAAATGGCTTTAAAATGTAAATGCCAGAGTAGTATGCTGTAGCATGTAATCACTCCCTATGCAGATTCACTTAGAAAGAAGCTCCTATAAAACACTAAGCGTTATTAGCAATTTGCTTAGCACTGATAATATTTCAAGGCGATGCACAGCAGACCCTATTGTAGATAAAAAGTGTGTTACCGTTCCAGTGTTCCAAGGTTAAAAGTCAGACATTTTTTGCTAGAAGACCTGCGCAATATATGCATGGTTTAGTATTTTGACTATGAGAAGCACTACATCAGCATGGAAACCCACAGAAGTCTGCTCATAGTAAATGGCCTTCTATTCCAGTGTAAGTTGCTGTGGGTATTTTAAAACCATTTTTAAATGTTGAAAAATATAAACAATGTTAGATTTTTACATTATTGAATGCAACCTTGCTTACCAGAAACACAAATCCAAGATTTAAACTGTTTTGCCTACACTCCATTTCTTAATTTCAATATACTAGTTATGTTTTCTGCTAAGATGATCTTAAACAATTTATTTTTCCACCTTGATATTAACATCTAGCAGCCTTTAAAGCTTCACAGATACATTAATAAACGTCTAATTGCTAACAAGGGCAATACTAGAAGAAAATAACTTAGAAGTACCTTCAAAAATGACAGGACTACTGGTGATGGTTAATAAAGCAATTTAGCCTTGCAGAAGTGGGCAGGTATATTTTGAACTTTGTAGCAAAAGAAGAAGGTCAACCACCTGAACCGTCTTAGCTGAGGGTGCAGCTCCTCAAGTAAGGAGTTTGAGTGTAAGGAGGTACTTCAAACTGGATAAAGCAATTACAGAGTGGGTAATAAGCATAGGAGATCCCAGGCTAAGTGAACTTCATCCTCCACAGGTCCTGTGTCCTACTAAAGCTCCTTCCTTGCCTACATGAGACAAGATATAAAACAATACCCCAAACTGAAAGCGTACACTGAGGAACTGTTTGTGCAGAGTTGCACCATAGTAAGTACCATCATTAACCTGCTCATGGCAATGAGGTTGGAACTACATCATCTTTAAAGTCCCTTCCAACTCAAACCATTTTATGAGTCTATGATTAAAGGCACAGGGAATCAGAATACATCAAACACACAATAACCATATGGTTTCAACACTTAAAGCTCATCTAGCACCACTGAAGTAAGTTCAGAGGCATGACTACC